CTTAAGGTTCCTAAGAGCACAGTGGCCTCCATAATCCTCAAATGGAAGACGTTTGGGACGACCAGAACCCTTCCTAGAGCTGGCCGTCCGGCCAAACTGAGCTATGGGGGAGAAGAGCCTTGGTGAGAGAGGTAAAGAAGAACCCAAAGGTCACTGTGGCTGAGCTCCAGAGATGCAGTCGGGAGATGGGAGAAAGTTGTAGTAAGTCAACCATCACTGCAGCAATCCACCAGTCGGGGCTTTATGGCAGAGTGGCCCGACGGAAGCCTCTCCTCAGTGCAAGACACATGAAAGCCCGCATGGAGTTTGCTAAAAAACACCTGAAGGACTCCAAGATGGTGATAAATAAGATCCTCTGGTCTGATGAGACCAAGATAGAACTTTTTGGCCTTAATTCTAAGCGGTATGTGTGGAGAACACCAGGCACTGCTCATCACCTGTCCAATACGGTCTCAACAGTGAAGCATGGTGGTGGCAGCATCATGCTGTGGGGGTGTTTTTCAGCTGCAGGGACAGGACGACTGGTTGCAATCGAGGGAAAGATGAATGCGGCCAAGTACAGGGATATCCTGGACGAAAACCTTTTCCAGAGTGCTCTGGACCTCAGACTGGGCCGAAGGTTTACCTTCCAACAAGACAATGACCCTAAGCACACCGCTAAAATAACGAAGGAGTGGCTTCACAACAACTCCGTGGCTGTTCTTGAATGGCCCAGCCAGAGCCCTGACTTAAACCCAACTGAGCATCTCTGGAGAGACCTGAAAATGGCTGTCCACCAACGTTTACCATCCAACCTGACAGAACTGGAGAGGATCTGCAAGGAGGAATGGCAGAGGATACCCAAATCCAGATGTGAAAAACTTGTTGCATCTTTCCCAAAACGACTCATGGCTGTATTAGATCAAAAGGGTGCTTCTACTAAATACTGAGCAAAGGGTCTGAATACTTATGACCATGTGATATTTCAGTTTTTCTTTTTTAATAAATTTGCAAAAATTTCTACATTTCTGTTTTTTTTCTGTCAAGATGGGGTGCTGAGTGTACATTACTGAGAAATAAAATGAACTTTTTTGATTTTTGGAAAATGGCTGCAATGAAACAAAGAGTGAAAAATTTAAAGGGGTCTGAATACTTTCCGTACCCACTGTAAGTATATTAAGAAATTTAGGAAATCACAGACAAATTTTACCAGACACTGAATCACATACCTCTAATTTATACCAGCAAAAATTAAACAAAACAAAAAGTGCAATCGTGGCAAGAAAGATGATTTCCTCCAGCTTGTGTAACCCACAGAGAATTATCACCAGACTTCGGCATCTTCCATCAGCTGTACGGAGTGTTTTAGCAACTTTGAACTTGTATTGGTTTAACTGCCAATAACTTGACTGTTTTGGTTCAGTTTCACTGCTCTCATCTCCAAAAAAATTTCAAAGTCTTTAAAATCCAACTCCACCCAGTAGAAAAGGGCAGACAGTCAAAGTTAAAGACTAGCTTGTGAACACAGTGGAGCATCTAGCCGCTAAAGAGCCTGATATTTCCCTCAGGAGCGGGTTGGTGGAGAGAAAAACAAAGCTAAAAGAGAGTGAACATTGGACTCACATTCATCACCCCTTCAGCTGCTTCCTTTGTGCTACATGTGGAAATACTATAGGCAACTGCTTACTAACATGTTCACCATAACAACTTTATCAGGTAAGAATGTGTGGAGATTGTGTTCAGTTGGGTAAGTTGGACTTGTGATCTCAGTATTTCAATAAGCCTGCAGCATTTTGTCTGTTAGGAATTTCCCATACTGTTTGATACTGCCGCTTGCAGGGCAGAGAGAAACCATTTCACACAATTAGTGCCCACTATGCTTAGCCTATAAATGTATTAAATGTCACTTGGTTTTATTGTCTAGTATCACTGCATGATAAACATATGAGGCAGAGACAGAGTGGGTTGACTACTTTAGCTATCCATTTTGTTAATGCATGAACAGTTTAAGTGAAAAGCATTAATTAAGAGTGACATTTTCTGTGGTATCACCATTCATTTCCATGCTAACTTCCAGCCAAAGTTTAGACTTGGACCAGCTTATAGACTCTTAAGGTCATCACTGTCAACACATAAAGAATAATGAACAATATAATTGTCAATTCACAAACGCTACTGAGTCTCAATAAGCTGTTGTGGTCAGTCATATAAATCTCCTTATACAAGACTGTACACAGTGAATAAAGACTGGTCACTCTCTTAACCAGGACAGCTACATGACAGCGCTGCTGTCAGATGCATGACTGTCTCTCTGTCGCCCTACATCCTCACCCGAACTAATGATGACCTTTGATTCCCAAAAGATGTCAGGAGATGAGAAGAAAACGCAAATGCACCCAATTAATTTAGGGTGAAGAGGACTGGAACGTGTGAGCACGTCATGCTGCTGGAGTGAATGGTGAGGAGCTCCAGGAAAGACAGAGCTCAGTTTAATTAGGATTCAGGAGGCCCATTGTCAAAGATAATTAAAGCTGACAGCCACTGTGGAGTAGAGAGGAAGAGAGCAAAAAACACCTTCAAACTACATGCTACACTTTCTACATAGTCTTTCAATCTCCACCTCGCTAACACACACACACACACATACAACCATAACCTGCGGTGCCATCCTTCATCCCATTCTCGCAAGGAAACTGCATACTAGGCAATAAAATAGATGACAGATTAATAGAGACACGTACTTGTATAGCCTTTTGAGCCTGAAATTGAGCTGAACAACATAATTATTAGAGGTCACAGTTTGAGCAGTGTGCAGACAGCTGGCCATCCCACAGATGTGTGTGTGTGTGTGTGTGTGTGTGTGTGTGTGTGTGTGTTATGTCTGCGGAGCAACCTCACTGTTTATTGCTATATAAAAAGGAATTTGTCTACATTACTTGAATTGAAGTAAGTTTGAGTTTAGCTTCTCACAATAATAATTAATCTGTAAGTTGGTATAGCACAGTCTTTATATGCTATGCCCTTTTGGTGTAAACAATAATGTCTTGTTTGTTAAAATATCTACATTCAGGGATGGGCAAAGATACATCAAAATGTATTTTACAATAGAATACCAAATAGCCTAGCCTAATTTTAAGTGTATCAAAATAAACTAATGTTATTTTGTATTTCAAAAAAATACATTTCTAAGGTACCATGAAATCACTTCACAAACCCATCTATTGGTTTATTTGATCTATCCCTTCACCAGCACACTGACTCAACAGCTTCTCTGCCTAGTGAGTCAGGCAATAAATCTGACATATTCAACCAGTTAACAGATAAAAGATTCATATATCCCTGGTTCACCCAGATGAAGTTTAGTTTTAAAGTAACCAACAGTTTTAATGTTTAAATAAAAGTTTGCAGATGACTCATAATTTAATCCTGATTTAGTTACTTGGTTGTTTGGTAATGAAGGGCCTACTTTGCATCATCTGAGCTACAACAAACAGAAGGGTAGATGGGTTGACAACTTGTTGTTTAATGGTGGCTGGACAACGTTGTTCATGACAATGTATATAAAGTGATGTTGTACAACAACTCTGAAACACTTTTTTTGTGCCAAAACTTGAAATAGGCTGAAGCAAGTTAACGTTAACTGTGAGGACTGCTATTCGGGTCAAATGGTTATCTAGAACATTACATAAATTGGTAAACTATTTAGGCCCAAACTTAACAGGAACTGTTAGGATTTGTAGCAATTAATCAATTTTCTGTTCTGATCTCACCAATCAGAGGTACTGTTTGTTAATGATGTCATCACTTAGATATACAGTATTTTTAAACGTCACTTAGATATACAGTATTTTTAAAGTATTAAAAGTATTTCGATACAAAATTACAAAATGTGTTAAAAAGTTATTTTCATCAACACTATACTAAAGACAAAAATCTATTTTGTATTTGTAATACATATGTCAAAAATACTGCCCATCCCCATCCATATTTATTTATTATTAATCTATATTTATCTGTAAACTGGTTTAATTACAATGTGACTGCCAGTATGTAATTTTTAACAGCAGCCACTGAGATCACAAGTGGTATTACAAGATAAAAGCTCATTCAAATTCACTTATCAATATCTTTACATTAGCAATGGATCAAATGACTGTGTAATGTGAAAGCGGTTGCTTTTAGTGACAAACCCACAGATAATACTCACAAACCAAGAAAAGTGAATATTGGACTTACATTCATGAGGTGGCGTGAAACAAGACTCCAAATAATGTTAATGTTAATCTGCATCTTCCGGATGTATAAATATGATACGATTTTCTAAACGCGTTTCTCCCAAGTAGCAAAAAAGAAAGCATCCCAAGTCAGTTGCCTTAAAAACATGCACTGAAATGTGGAATGGGTGCAGTGTGTTAATTACTTACTTTTGTAATTCAACTTTTATAATTTCATGAAACATGCTAGTGTAGTATACCAGTAGCACAAGTATGTGACATAAGTCAGTAGAGTGACCCAATAATGTCAGTTACACAGCAATATCAATAAAAAGTTTACTAAAATTACACATAAGCTACTGGTCGTACCAGACCAAAATGAGGCTGTAGCCGCAATCCTGAGCATAATGATTTGAGCAAAAATGCATTTCATTCCTTCTGAATTCAACTTTTTTCTTCACTTCAAGTATCCTCATTTAGTCTTAACCAGTGTAATGAATTAAATGATGGAAAATGATAAGAATGAAAACTGAGGTTAAATAGGAACAAAATATCCGTTTTAGAGAGTTTCTTTTAAATTACCAGACAGACTGTTATAGCCCAAGATTTGAAGAAATAAGGTTAAACAACGCATTTGTGATGTTTTGTGACTTAAGACCTTCATTGGAAAAATGGGGTATTAAAAAAGAACCACAGTGCCATAACAGTTTTCGATAAATGTTCATGGTCAAAGGAAACTAATGTATTTGTCTTAATATAAACTCTAAACACATCTGTGAGCTCTTTCCAAAATAACGAGACATAATATACACGGTTACATTTATTTTGATTCTACAAAATCAGCTTTGAATTATCATTCAAATAAGACTTTTCTACATATTCTCCCTGTGGAATGAAATATTGCAGCCAGTCGTACACTTATTCAGGGTTTTAAGCAGCATCACTTTTCTTGCAATTGTACCTTTTTTTCAATTTTTTTTTTTAAAGCTTGGTATTCACATTGACAATCTAGCTCTCATATTATTACAAATACACAGAACTATAGTACTGTACATCTTTCAAAACTCAACACACAAGCTGACACCATATTTTCCCCAAACTTGACACAGGTCTCTGATTTAATTTCATTATCTCCAGTTTTGTTTTCTGACAAAACAGTGCCTTTTGTCTGTTGTAGCTGCAGAGGCTGAAGTGCGTCATCACAGAGACGACCAGAGCCAACGTTGGAAAGGCACTTATTAGTGACAGATGAATTCTGATTGGCTAAGTTCTTTTTGTTGTGGTTGGTGAGCTCCTCCCTTTTGCGAACGGAAGAAGACGCTTGGACATTTAAGAATATTGCTGCGTGAATTTCTGGTGGAACTCCTTTACTTTGTTCAGCAGGATCTTCAGCTTGTCTGTTGGTGGCAAGATGGTCATTCTGGGACGGGGAGGGGAAAAAAAGACAAGACAAAATTTAACTTTGAACTGACTGATATAAGAGCAGCAGATGCCTTGCTTAAGGAGTTAAGGATTAGTATGGATTTTAAAGAATCAGGTAAAGATCATTTTTAGAAAGTAATTCAATAACTAGAGAGAGTGCAGAAGTTACATTAAGAAATGACAATCATTCTCTTCCTTAATCTTCGGAACAAACTTAAAGTACACTTACATAAAAGCTCTTTACAAACATGGAATATGTAACATTGCTGGCTTCATTTAAGTGTTCAAGTGAAGAAAGATGACTTTTACATCAATGTTTCTTACAGCTTCCTTTAGACATGTATGAAAATGTATGGAAAGTACCATTATTCTCATGCAATATTGCTGATTTCTATTTAAATATAGGGAGAAATTAATCAATTAGGCAATTGCCAGAAAATTAATTTGCAACTCTTTTGATATTTAACTAATCTTTTTAGTCATTTTTTAAGAATAAATGCCAGTAATTTGAATTTCTTTGGGTTTTGAACTTTTGATCACATTTTTCATGTTAGAAGGTTTTTTAAACTCTTGCCCTTGTCGCACCACGAGAGAAAAAACGTTTTGAAAAAAGTTTCGAGAGGCTGATATGGGATGTGAAGAAACTAAAACTGCCTCTTTCACAGTGTTTCATACTTACTTAAACTGATTTAGTTTCCTTTGTGCATAAGACAAGACAACCAAGTTAATACATTTATTACAGTGATCTTACGAGGTGGTAACGTCACAAGATGCGTGCGCATGTTTCTGCTGCTGCAGCCTCTATGTTCATCTGACAGCATACAATTCAGACTTGTGCCGTATTGAGAGTAAGTAAAAAAAAGAATTAGAAAAAACTAGAATGAATTAGTAACTATTTTGAAATTCCTTTTTCTGAAATTATAAAAGATCGAATGATGAATAAAAAAAATCTGCATATGAATCATTAATGAAAATAGTTGCTAGTTGCAAGCCTAGAAGAGAGAGATGTTTTCAAACCTGAAGTGGTAGGTTCCATCCTTCTGGCCAAAGCCGCTTCCAGGTACGAGGCAGATCCCCGTCTCCTCCAGCATCTTCATGCAGTAAAACATATCTGGCTGCTGACCGTTGTCCTAACAGAGTAAAAAAAACCATTATAGACCAGTTTGAGGCTAAATATTCTGGTGGCATGAGACTAATTCCAGCAGCAAGTATTTTATCAAGAATTTAGCTACTTTTTTGTTGAAGAAGTACAGTTTTGCTGTGACTATATGATATATATTTTTAATCAAACACTGTGACTCACAGGATAGCCTTCACACTTGAAGTACTTTATGTTCTTTTTTTGCCGCATTCCCACTGAGCTGCTTTCTTCATTATGTTCTATCATGTATTTTGTCAAACAACATTCTGTGCTTGATTCATAACGTATTAGAAAGGATTTTCAATTTGTATTAAATCTAATTAATTTAAAACAGCTCAACAGAGGATTGTTTTTTAACCAACAGTCTCTCACTCCCGTAACATAAAAGGGGGAATCACAATTATACAGTGCTATGGTAAACCTGGTAAACCTCTTCAGAAGCTCTTCAAGTTAATACATTTTACTGTGCTGATAATTGTATTCTACAATTTCATGGTGTTCCAGACCTATTTTAGCACATGTGCCCTTCAGAGTTGTACATAACTTTGAGTAAGGACACGACATTTTCTTCAGCAGTGCCAAGATAATTGAAGGTTGATGAGTACCAATTTGAGGTCAAATAAATCCTAAGTATGTCTAATGGATCAAACGCTTTTTGTCAAACATTTAAGTGTGTCAGCCTTAGAAGTAGCTGAGTATTCAACTCAATGAACCGCACAGCAGCTCTAATCAAACTGCCAATGGTAATGTTGACAAGAGCGTTGTTAAAGAAGCTCTGTCTTTATGCATTGTTTTGGGGGAAAGCACAGCCAAAAACAAAGCAATGCTGCAAATCAACATGGTGAGCGGAGTCACTGGGATTGAGGAGGTGTCAGGCGGTCAGCTTTACTCCGACCTTATCCTCTGTAAGGCTAATCAGATTCTCAGCGGCATGGCTCATCTGCCCTCCCTGAAATTCCTACTGAGCAGTCAACCTCGGGACAGAATTGAAACCACAAGCTATTGGAAATCATTTGTTCCCTTTAGCAAACAGGGCAGGGGATGCACAGTGTACTGAACCTTTGTTCAATAGTTATTTAATCCAGCATAGTGGAACACTTTCAGTTAAATAATAGTAAGTGGACCAAATATTAAGCAGTAGATTAATGAGAGTGTTGAGTAAGACCACTTATATAACGGTCACCCATTTTCTTCTCTTTTTTGCTGCTCCTGATCAATGTAATATCCTCAAAGCAACAACACAGTCAAACTTGAATAACTGAAGCATTTATAAGAGTGTGTTCTGACCATGGCCTCTTTGATGGCCTTTTCAGGGATGGTTATGCAAGGGAAGGAGTACATAGCACCCTGCACAGGATTGCAGCTGATGCCTTGCACAGTATTGAGAGCCTGCTCTGTAAGCTTAGCCTTCTCTGCTAAGGCACTTAAGGTGGCTGTGCGCTCCTAGATGTGGGAGAGAGAGAGACAGAGAGAGAGAGAGAGAATAGAAAATAAACTAGAATCAGGAAACACTGGAAACAACATTTGCTGTGCCTGCGATTGACTATATTATAGTCATTTATCTCGGGTAGCAATCCACCTGTATTTTCAAGCTCAAGGAGGTCTGGAGAAAATCTTAGCCACAGAAAATAGTCTTATAAAAACTGGTCCTAAAGCAGTGTTTAAAATTGACCAAATCCGGAAAGGGTTATATTTCAGTACGATTAAGTCAATCCCTGCCTTATTTTATTAGCGGTAAGTGAATCGACAAAGCTTGAATTTCTCCAGACTTCTGTGAGCTCCATTAGAAGAAGGGGTGCCAGATATTGTACAGTCAGTATAAAGTAAGATCATTTCACACACGCAAGACGTCCTGACTTCAAGGGGTTTTCATAAGTAACTTAACCAGCTTTGTGCATGGTGTAATTCATTGACCATGATAATGATTGTACTGTAGGTAATGATTTCAGCAATTCAGTGCTATGAGACAATCATCTACAATACATCACAAGTTAATGAATACAGTTTTGAAACAAACTCATATTTCATAAAACAGCTATATAATGGGATATAACGTATATTCATTATAGTAAAGAGTGAGTTCAGTTTCACAGAGAATCGAGATAAAACAGGGTGCAACTAAATACATACAGTCAAGGCCATTTTAACACCGCAAAATGTACTTAACATTATTCAAGAAAGCCAGCTAAAACAGCCACATAATATGAAAAGGCTGAACTGTCCGAGGTCAGTGGAGTCTCACCTTAAATATCATATTTCAGATGTTTTCAGTGTGTCTAGAAGATTAGCTTGAGAGAAACCTCAAAATAGCCCATTAAAGCAAATGTAGTAAGTAAACCCCATAACCAATAGCAGTGTACTTGTATAGTAAGTATAATGATACTGGTGTCAGTGTTAGTCTACAAACAAGAGATCATGTTGCAGTATATTGGCGTATTGATCTTTGTCCCATCCCTATTGCATATAAATGAGGGTTGTGGGACACAGACTGTGTACCTTGATAAATGTGCTATATGAGGGTTCCCCAGGCTGCGGAGGGTTGACTACCAGGTCCATGAGAGCCTGTCCAGGAACAGGAGGACACAGACGGACAGACACCAGCTTGATCAGCTGGGCCTTCACCTCATCGTCCATATTGATGATCTCCATGTAGCCTCCACGGAAGCCACACCTAAGAGGCAGAGCAAACAGTAGGATGTGACCTAGTAGCGCGCAAAACAATATGTAAGAAAATGAAACAAAAAAAAAAAAAGACAGACATGAAGACAGCAAAGTCACAGCAAACACAAAGAACTAGTTGTCAACACAATTTGGTCTGACAGATTTATCCCAGCATGAAAGCAAAATGACTTACTCTCCCATGTAGCATTTTGAGGTGGAATGGAAAGATACCAGCTCTACTGTATTTGAGTACTCTGGCCCCATGTCAAACAGAACCTTCTTAAAAGAGTGGAACTGGCAACCATCAGCATACACATTATCCTGGTACACCTGGGAGATGAAGACAGAATGACAAGATGTCACAGGGAACAGACAACAAAGCAGGTAAGATATTAAAAGAGATGCAGAGACAGTACCTCATCAGCCATGAGGAAGAGACGTTCCCTTGCTGCAAATTGGATTACATCCTCAATACATTGTCTGCTCTGAACCTGACCTGTGAATGAGAAGGAGGTTCATTACAGAAAAAGGTTTGAAATGGTGATTAGGCAGGCACTTATGTCTTTTTGCTGCCATCTAGTGGCTCTTTGAGTAGCACATGAATTGCAGGGTTACAGAACTGTTTATAAGGACAGGAAAATGATGTGTACACCTCATGCAAAAAGGATTTATTTTAAGTAACTGGTGGAGCAAGTGGTTTAGGATGTGTGCCATATAGCTGCAACATCCCCAGTTCGATTCCAGCTGATGATATTTGTTGGTTTTCATATCCCCTTTCCCCTCATCTTTCCTGTCTATCTCTGTAAACTGCTTAAAATGGCTCAAAAATAAATCTATTAAATATGCAAGTCTTTAAAATTAAGGCCAAATCATCTGTGACTAAATTAGCGATGCACCAAAAAACAAATGACTCAAGGTCCACTTATTAGCCTTTTCTGGGGCTTTCACATCTTGCGGTCTTCCTTGGCGGATCAAGGTCTCAAGGCCAAAGTATTGTGTCCTA